GATGAATATTATTTTATTATACCATGTACCAATTATTTGGGAGAAAAAATGAGGGATTGAAACCTAACTTTCAAACGTTACGCAAAAATGTGAAACATAAAATTTTCATGTTTTTTTTTTTAAATTTACTTGAATAGCTTGGTTTTAATAAGACTAGATGGATATAGTCTCACTGTACAAAATCCGATTTGAAGATGAAGATCCCCTCACTATAAAACTCAAAAGAAGAAGAAGAAGAAAAAGAAGAAGTAAATATTGGCAAGAATCGTGTTAGAAAGCAGTTCCAAACCTACAGCACATGACTGTTGCTGCTTCGAATTGAAAGCATTGTTTTCAGGAGGTCAATAATTTCTCAAAGTCTCTGTCATTAATTTGAGAATTGATTGATGTAGAGACTTTGAAAGACATGCAGTATTCAGCTTTTATATGGTAAAATTTATGGGCTGGTTCTCTGTCAATTCAACCGCTTCATATGTGAAGCAGGAAGGAAACCGAGAAAAACTCCTAGCGGTAGCATCCATCCTGGAACCTGGATGATGCTTAACATTCCTTTGGCCTGCGTAAAATTGGTTGAAAGATGAAATGATTCTTGTATGTACGAAAAAGCAAGTCATGAAATTGTTCATTAGCGTTTCGATTAAGCCTTCCTTTTTGTAATTTTATGGGATTTATTTATTCTTTATTCTTTTTTTTTTTTTTTTTTTTTGTCTTTAAGTTTATTTGAATAATGCGACATGTAACCGATCAAGTCTATGGGTGATAGTATTTGATTTTAACGAAAAATTGAACCAAACCAAAAATAAATAAATAAATAAATCAATTTTGATTTGATTTTTAACCATTTTTTTTATAAAAAAACGAACCTTTTTTTTTATCATATTCAGTTCAGTTTGATTTATAATTTTTTGTTTTGATTAAACTGAAAACTAAATTTTTTTTTTAATATATATATATATATATATATATATATATATATAAACATTTTAAAAATATTTTTAATCTCCTAATCTTGAACTTTTTTTTTAATTTTTTCTTATAAACTATTATATTTTATAAATTATGTAAAAAAAATTATACATATTTTTAACCCCATAATTTTGAAAATTTTTTATTTTTTTCTAAAATATTATAAAAATATTATAATTTTTTTTTATAATTTATAAAATTAGGGGATCAACCCTTAATTATGTTTATTTTAATTTATAAAATATTTTTTTAAGGCTTAAAATTGTGTATTGTTAATTATGTTTTTTTATAATAAAATTTTATGAAAAAAAGTTTAAAAAAATTCAAAATTAAGGGGATAAAAATATTTATAAAATATTTTTTATATAATTTATAAAATGTTTATAATATTTTATAAGAATTTTTTTTAAAAAAATTCAAGATTATGAGGGTTAAAAATATTTTTAAAAAATATATATTTTTTAAAAAACATAATTAAAAGTGGAATGCCAAAATGATATCATTTTAACATTTTCGATAACGGTCAACTCAATTGACCATTACACATAACGGAGATTGGACAATTTGGATTATATTTTTTCAATCTTTTTTACATAATATCAAATTATGTGTTCAAAATTGCTTTCCAATAGTCATAAATATCTTTTGAGCAAATAAAATACCATTAAACCCAATGATTTATGTGTTCGAATAGTATCAAATGGTAACGATCAACCTTTATTCTATTGTATTTGATATTATATGTTCGAAATTGTCAAATCACAATAGAATAGAGGTAAAATTTGTCGTTAAACCAATGTTGTTAGAAAATAAATTATAAAACATAGAATGTAATCATTTTTGATGGATTTCATTTTTACAAAGAATTCACTTTCCGACAAAAAAAAAAAAAAAGAACAATAAAAACAGTGATTTTTTAACTAATTTTTAGCATAACTTAAAAAATAAATCGATGGTTAAAGAATTTTGCTATTTTTTTATTTTTTATTTTGAACATAAAAGTCAACATCTAAAGGAATTCGTTTTTATCAATGCATTAAATTGATATAAAATGCACATCTTTAAAATAAATAGAAAAAAATTAATTTCCATATGCGTAAAAATTAATGTGAAGATATTTATGACTATCGGAAAGCAATTTAATAAAAAAATGTTATTTAGTATATAAAGTCACGGTCTGACCATCAAAATTTTTCGTGCGTTGACGTGAGGCTAGTTCTAATTGCTGTCCTGGCAGTGAATTGAGCAGTCTGGTAGGTGGAACTTGGAAGCAATGTCGAGTTTTTTTTTTTTTAATTTCCAGGTCCAAAAACTCATAATAATTTCGTATTCTTCTAATGGACACAACACTGACACAATTATTTAGAGAAATTTTCACATATACAAGGACTTAATTTCAAAAAATGTCAAGAGTTTTGATTGGGTGTTATGATGAATTATCGCTATCTTTCTTGAGCAGTGGTTCCTTGATGACCGGATTTGCTGTCTGGAACATGATACCAATTCAGCAACAGCCCGTAACCCTCAGCAACCTAGCCCATAAACTCCAAACTGGATTTTCCAGAAACCATCACGAGCCTTCTTTTCTTTTTTTCGAGGATTTGGGCCGGGCGTCGCAGTTATTGTTAACGTTTTGGACCAATAATACGCACACTTTTTAGTTTTCCTATCTGACACTCAAGGCCTAAAGCTCGTATGACTTGCTATTTGCTAGGTTGATATGTCTTCTTATCAATGTGTGATTGTGGCACAGATAAGTGAGGGCTGCCATTTTGACTTCCAATGTGGATGGATATGTAGGTTCATCGTAATTCCATAGAATGATTATATAAAAGATCAGTAAGTAAGGATGTGTTTGGCATGCTGAGAAGACTTGACATGATTAATAAATTGTGCAATATTGATGGAATATTGAACATCACTAAAAAAAACTATGCAGTGTTTGTAGATACATTAGACGTGACAAGGATGAATACTTGTCCTGTTTAAAGTTGTTTTAAACACAAAAATTTTGTCCCACTATGGAGTGGAATAAGCTCATCCGATACGACAAACAAAATCAACATTTCTAAAATTTTATTTTATTCATCGTCTATTTATTACTCGTTTTTTTTTTTTTTAATTTGATTGATTAAAGTGCCTATATTTTATCAAAATGAATTTTCGATACCTCGGGCCTTAATTGCAATATATATATTGCAATTCAATGACTAAATTACATTTATAAAAAATCAGAGGGCCAAAAATTGTTTAAATAAAAAGTGAAATGCTATAAAAAAATAAAATAAAATATAAGAACTAAAATAAATTGTTGAAAATATTTTAGAGACCGAAATGAACTTTGGTGAGCAGTTCATTATCCACCATTGTCTTATCCAACGTACCAAACAAAAGATACGGATATGGAATTGTTACGTCTAAACCGATCCAGTTTAATGGAGTAATTTTACTCAACAATTAACCAATGCAAATTACTTTATAAAGAGATAGAAATAATAAAATAAAATAAAATTAAGAGACATAAAAATAAAAAAATTTAAACCAATGTAAATTTTTATTTTTTATAGATTCAAATATGATTTTTTTATATATCTGTCTTTAACTATTATACATATATACTAATTACTCATTAAATATTATAAAATTTCTCCTATAATGTAATCTCGTACCAAGTGTATCCTAAGGTTTTTTTTTTTTTTGGAACTTAACGGTCATTAAACTCTCCCTAAAGCATTTGAACATAGTAGAACTGAATAGCTGAAAATTACGCGCCCACAAACCTGGAAATTTATTATCCATGGGAGAAAACGCTGCACAATTTTCTATACAAAATGGAATTTAAAGGAGATAGAACAAAGAATCTTGCTGCTGTTCTCTACGCTATAAGGCCTAGGGCTCATTAAAACTCAAATGTGCATCAATTAAGAGATCATGGGGTCCGCCCTAACTTGCTAGAAATTGATGATAAGAAAAAACAATGCACATCTTGTTATGCCATATTAAGTTACCAACCCACACAAGACAGTCCCTAGAGAAGGGCTCTTAAGAACGATCATAGAGGCTGCACTTTTGTTGTTACTTCATTTTCACAGTAAAATAAGGTAAGGTTGTACTATATATGCATCTAATTCAACATCCATTAACAACACAAGCAAATACTTCAAAGTCGAGTTAGGCTTCTCGCAGCTCTTGGGGCTAGGAAAGTAGTGTTAAGAGCTTGAAAAGTGCCTTTTAAAAGTCAACAAAGGTTGGTTAAAATTCAAGATCACATCAGAGTCGTCCACGTTATGCTGACAGCGATGTAAGTCATCTTTCAATGGAAAAACTTGCAACTACACGTATCCAACAAAAGAGACACCAAGACAGACTATAGTCAAAGTCACTAGCAATACAGAAAATTTAATGTTCCACCGACAGATCTCATCGAGGCCGTCGGTAGGTAGAAATATTCACCAAACCAAACTTGATCAATGGCACTGAGCACTTCCACCTTTCCATATTCAAAATAAATGGTAAAAATATGGAGATAAGGGGTACCATGTAACCATAGTTTTATACAAGATGGTTAGAAAACCGATCGTGATCATCATTATAAATTATAATTAATTATAATATTAAAATAACAATAACAATATAGTTAAAAAACATTATATAATGATCTTATTTAAAACTATACATGTAACTTTACTAGTTTCTTCCTTATTTGTAAAACTAATACAAGCATCATGTGAAATTTGATACAATTGCAAGATTTTTCTATTCTACTGATCTTCATGTCTAGCGTAGCACCTAGGTTGCTTGGCAGTGGCATTACATTGCCCACTAGACATTATGGTGCATGGGATACATAATAAATTCTACATTCCTACTTGATATATATAGCAAGAAAAGGTAGTAAACGAAACAATCTAAAATTGAGATATTAAAAATAATAATAATTTAAAAAGAAAAAAAAAACCCCAAAATAGATAGTAAAATGGGCCTTATTGCATTTTCTTCAAAAAAATTCTTCAGTGAAATTGCATTTGGATGAACTAGTTCTTCTTACCCTCTTCGCCGCCCTCTTCCAAGTAAGCCTTCTTTCTCCTCTCCGCATTAGCAAACAGACAAATCACGAGGAAACACGTGGCATAAACCCCATGAATCTTCCAATTAGTCTTGGGTGGCTGGTGCAGCACAACCCTATGAAACACTGCCATGTAGTAATGCAGCCCAATTGCATAGCCTACGAGGGTCTGGCCCAGGCCCAACAGCTTCGAGCCCATCCCACACTCGGTGGAAAAAACGAGGATCAAATACATCAAGAGCAACAGCAAGTACAAAACATAGCCCAGTGTTTGAAGCACCATTAAACAAACGTAAGTGGACGGTGAAGTAGCGTAGAAAAACTTCAAGGGCTCAAGCCCAGTAACTAATGAAGAGAGGCATAGGATGGTGAAGTAGATGGAGAGATAAGCTTGGATGAAAATCAAGATCTTTTGTATGGAGAAATAAGCTTTGATACGGTTAAAGATAAGAGAAACTAGAAGTAGAGGTATTAAAATGAATGCAAAGGAGACAATGGAGGCAATGGTAGGTGCATACTTATTGCCAACAATTGGCTTGAACCCTTTAGTCAAATCTTTGTTGGCTTTTGTAAGGTATTGCTTGGAAGTTTTTGAGATTCTCTCAATGTCTGGTATGAGAGTTTGATGAAACTTTGATGGTAGATCTCTGAATTCAGCAATCAAATCATCTTCATCGTCTTGGTCAAGCCAGCTTGGTTTTTTTTTATCTTGGGTGGTCTTCTTTTTATTGGTTTGTTTTTGGGATTCTGTGTCGCTGACTTTCTTGACTACAAGGGTTTGGGTTTGGGTTTGTGTTTGTGTTTGTGTTTGTTTTGTGGAAGTGGGTTTGGTTGTTTTGTTTGTGGATGCACCTAGTTTGAGTAGATCTGATGTTTTCTTGGTGGAGACAGAATTGGTTTTGGTGGACTTAGAAGCTTTTGATGTGGAATTGAGTTTCTTGAGCAGTGAAGTGGAGTTTAGCTTTTTGAGCTGAGAAATGGAATTGGAAGGGGCGAGTGTTGCTTTTGTTGAGTTCGTAGATTTTGTTATCTTGGTTTGGTTCTTGGTGGATAGGCTGCTAGTCTTGATGAGTTTGGTTTGGTTTTTTGTAGATAGGCTAGGCTTAGTGAGCTTGGTTTGGTTCTTGGTGGATAAATTGGTGCTCTTCTTCTTGGGTACATGATCTTCATACGTTTCCACTTCTAACATTCTTCTTCTAACAAGAAACTGTCTGGTTTCAAGCTGTTGTTGATCACTGTGTGAGGCGGCAGAAAGGAAAAGAGAAGAAGTAGACAGAAATAAAACAACAAAAAGCAGAAATACCCGTCTGAGACTGAAACAGATCAAGTACTTGAGTGGAGCCATTTTGTGAAATCTAGGTCTGTGTTGGCCTTGAACGATCTAATGGGGACTTGCAAGATCTATAGCTTGGATACGTTGGATCCCAAACTCAATGAGAGAGAGAACATCAAGTGAAAGTAAGAATTTATATAGTAGTTAACTAGTGAGGTTCGTGTAAGTAAGTGAAGACTTAAATGAGAAAGTAGTAGATGGTGAGATCGGTCAGTCACATGATGACAATAGGTCCTTTTGTATAAAACGCGGTTTTACAGGTCCCGGTGTTGCTGCTGCCTGCCCGCTTGCTGGCACTGTGTGGCCAACCAATAATATACTATTAATTTATCCATTTTTTTTCCAACTTGTGGGACTCAAATTTTTAGGTTTAATGGCATTTTGCCAATGAACTATTACAGTTGTTACAAATTAAGATGTATATTATTTATTTGATCAATTTTGACCTTGAATTATTATGTTTTTTTAATATATATATATATATATAACTCACACTCCCAAAACTTCTAATAAAACTAATCTCTTAAAATTTGAATTTGTAACATCTTGCAAGAGATTACTATTATTAGGTTATAAGTTCTTTGGTTACATTCGTTTTATTTGATTACTAATATCAATTAAACACTTTTTTAAAAAAAATCAAATTTTAGTTTTTTAACTGATTTTTTTTTCATAAAATCTAATTAAATTCAATTCACTTTCACAAATAAAAATTCAAAAATGATTAAAATAAAAATTCAATTGATTATAAAAAATAGAAAATAATTGGAATTATCTCTTTTCTTTTGAAAGTTCTAAGAAGGTCATATAAATGTATATAAATAATTTTAGTGCGTTTTTCAAAATTTTTACATATCTAATTCTCAAAATTAACCTATTTTAAATATAGTTAGATGTTATGTATTTGAACGTGTAAATATTTTGAAAATCATACTAAGACTAAGTAGATACACTATGTGATTTATTTTAGGCCTTCCAATAAAATTCTGGAATCATTTCAAATTTTTTTCTATTCTGCTTTCAGGTTTGGTAATAGTGAATATTTAAGAAAAATTTAAAAACTACTCTTGACTTCAAAAAAGTTTGAAACTACTTTGAAAAGCAAATTAATTTTTCATTAGCATATACGAAAATTTTTAGATCAAAATATCAAAAGTTAATTTTTTAAAATGAGTTTTTGATAAATAATAACAGACAATATTCATCTAAAACATGATAGTTTAATATTAAAATCGATCAAATTGATAATATAGTTCTCAATACGTTATAATCTCAATAGTTTAGAGCAATAAAATACCATTAAACCCAATGATTTACTAATCTGTTCCTCAACTTTTGATCCTCTTATCAGTTACAACTGAATAGTGTTCAAACCATGATTTCATTCGTCAGCTATCTAGTAATTTGTCAAATCTTCACTGGATTTTTAAAGGCTGATGAGTTCCTCAACTTGTTGATACTCTTATTAACAAGTTGTGTCCAAGCCATGACTTCATGGGTCAGCTATCTCTTTCTTCAACACTAATAATTAAATTGGACGTACATGGAATTAGGCTATAAAACAAGGTACTTCTATAAAGTTAGCAGTAGCTTATTATTTACTTTTCCAGGATTTGACAGAACCTTCTGTTTAGAGTGTGAACTTAAAAGAGGTTGAGCTGACCAATTTACACGATCAATTATTGACTTATTTGCCCATTATTAGAAGAAAATATAATTTCTTTGTCACTGGATGAATCACCGGCAAAGCACGTACTTTGATGAGCATAGTTGTTTGCAATTGTGTAATTCGGTGAAAATGGCACCAGAATTGATAGCTAAAATCTCAAATATGAAAATCAAACCAGATGGATCATGCAATCTTGATTTTCTGCATACATTTTAATTATAACTGTTTTATTCTTGAAAGTGGGGAATATTAGTAGAAATTATAAAAACTGCAATTCCTGACTTCTTCATTTTCTTAGCATGAAACTAACTTTGAACTCATTTATGAAGTTGCGAAAGGTCAGTCTCATTACTGCTATAATTGTACTGCATAAGCATTTCTTTTTCTATGCTTCGCATGCATACAAAATGTATACCACTGTGTCTTTCCTTTTTCTTTCAGATCACGAAATACTATAACAGTAAAACAACGGAATCAGGGCTGGAGTCATCGCAAAAGGCCAAAGCATGATCTAGATCCATAAGACCTCTTAGGAGACTTTTCATTTTTATAGGAAATGTAAGAGACCATAGTTGAAATCGTTGACTTGTGTGCGCTTGGTTGCACTGTATATACATACATACATACATATATGCTTTCCCAGTATGGAAAAATATTAAAATCAGTGCCTAGCGGCCCATCAATCCCCAATTCACCTCATTCATGCACGGGACCAGAAGAACTAAAGGATCAGCCGATCAGGTAGTAGGTCCCCAGTTGTGCTGCCCAGCATTACATAGACAGGTTTCTTCCATACGTTCTTTCTTTGCTCACTTGTCGGTCTTCGGGTTCGATTCAAGCAAGGCGAAGATTCATTTAAGTTACCATTGTTTTAGGATTGAACTGTTTTTTTTACTGCATTACAGCACGAATTGAATAAAATATATAAAATTATTTATAAAAATATATAAAATCTAAGATAAAAAAAATTATTAATAAAAAATTTATATTTAATTATTTTTTATTTATATTTTTCATAAGTTTTTCTTTAAAAAAAAATATCATTATTAATTCATGGGTTATTAACTAAAAAGAAAATTAAATATTTTTTTTAAAATACTTTAGTATTTCATGTCAAAAAACATAAATAACAACTATTAAAAGCTTATATAGAATTGAACAAATAATTTTTTTTATTTAATGTTGATGAAAATATCGGTTTTGAAAAAAATATGAATTTATTTTTTATATATTTATTTACAAAAAAATAAAAAAATATTAAAATAAAAAAATATATTAATTTGAATCATTGAGTGGTTAAGGCAAAACATTATTTTAATTATTTAATTAAAAAATAAGTAAATAAATAGTAAATGCTTAGTGTAAAAAAATAATATTATTATAATATGATCATAATATTAATAACATATGACTATATTAAAAAAATAAAAAATTAAAGTAGCAAATTTTAAAAAATAAAAATAATTAAGAGAAAACACTAAAAAAAATGAGATCAAATCACAATACAATTAAAGTTTAAAATTTTAATAAAAATTATTAAAAGCTTACATAGAATTGAACAAATAATTTTTTTTATTTAATGTTGATGAGAATATCGATTTTTGAAAAAATGTGAATTTAATTTTTATATATTTATTTACAAAAGAATGAATAATATTAAAATAAAAAACTATATTAATTTGAATTATTGAGTGGTTAAGCCAAAACATTAATAACATATGACTATATTAGTGTAGAAAAGTAATATTATTATAATATGATCATAATATTAATAACATATGACTATATTAAAAAAATGATAAATAAATTATTTAATTCAAAAATAAATAAATAAATAGTAAATGATTAGTGTAGAAAAATAATATTATTATAATATGATCATAATATTAAAAACATATGACTATATTAAAAAATAATAAATTAAAGTAGAAAATTTTAAATAATAAAAATAATTAAAAGAAAACACAAAAACAAAATGAGACCAAATCACAATACAATTAATATTTAAAATTGAAAAAAAACATTGAGGACCAAAATGATAAAAAAATAACATGAATCGTGAAAAAAATAATGATTTGTGATGAATGCACGAACAGCGTTTCAAATAGTGAAAATAAATAAGAAATTCATGTTTTACTTTATTTTTTTTAATAATTCGAGTACCTCAACTCTGTACAAGTAGCATAACAGTTCTCAAAAAGACCAATGTTTCGTTTCATTCTATATTTGTGATTAGATTATCTGTAAGCCCATTTCCTGTAGAAATGAAAACTACCTAGACGGACTGATCAAGATATTATGGGATGAAAAGAGGGTTCTAGACCAGAAATTGGTGGCGGGGCCTTGAATATTCCATCTGAAGTTCTGAACCAGACACACTGAATTGATTCGTGAGTGGTGACAAATAATAATGTCTATTGTGGGTCTTAAGTTAGCGTGTTAAATACTACACAAAACTGGTAAACTTTTATTTTCCCCCGAAAGAAGCAAAGCTTTAGAAAAAAATGATGTTTGTTATATAATTTTGGAGAGACGACTCAACAAATGCCTTTTAGAAAAGGGCTGATTTCCCACTGTGCTTCGATCTGATTATGGGTTATCAGGTTTTTGAGAATTTAGGGAGCAAGTGGTAGCATTTTCAGAGTGTTGGTTATAGATATATACATTTTTTTTTATGTAGATAAAAATATATAGGACAACAAACAGTAAATTTTCAATTAAACAAAGGGTGGAAAAATATTTACAACCATTACTATCAAAGGCTTATAAGTATTGAACGCATGCAAGAACAGAAATATCAGAATAAGAGCAATATAAATAAACTTCAACTATGATTGATAACAATTTTAGAGAAAACATGAAAATATTGAAATCCGACTGCACATGCTATGGTCTATGAGAGTTCAGTAAAAGATTTTTGGAAACTGTAAATAAAAAAATAGAATGAATTTCGAGGAAGACGGGTCAAAACTCCACGTTCGCTGCAAAATGATAATTTTAATAGCCAAATTAAAATTAAATAACTCAAGATGAAATTCCATGTCTAGCTATCAAATGTGATAAAAATATTTTTTAGATTCAAATTTTTTTAATTATTTCCTTTTTATTTCTTTTTTTCTTTATATGTTTATGCAATAAGTATTTTTAATTACTCGAGGAGTAAGATAAATTTTTCATGAAAGGTACT